CCCCAAAACCCCAAAACCCCAAAACCCCAAAACCCCTTTATTCAATCCATCTATTGAAGTTTATTTCATATATTTTTATCAGCTTTATTGCCTCTCTATCTTCGGTACAAACATTCTCTCTTTAGACTTGCATTTACTGTGAGTTTTAGCAACAAGATCTTGGTATATTTCAAGATCCTCATAGTTCTTCACCCTCTCTTTTTTCAGCTGTTTTTCAATTTTAATCAGCTCTGGATCTGTATATCTGACTAAGTACTCATCAAAATCTACAAAGCCTCCACCGACTCTAACCATGAGCTCATGCTCAAGAACCTTGACGTAGATTTTCTTTGTTCCAAATAAGTAATACCCTGGCTCGTTGAGCTGAGAAATTGGTACTAGGGATGCCTCGATTTGGTCTGCCATCAAGAACTCCAGTTCTTTGTCAGCATCCATAAATGAAGAAGTGTTAGAATAAGCTTTTTCAAGCATCTCTATTTCTTCTTTAAGTGAGGCAATGTACTGATCTTTCTCTAATAAAGCATCAGTTTTAGCTTGGTTTTCAGCTTGCTTTTGGCTAATTTCTGCTTGCAAAGTTGCATTCCTAGCTCTGATCTTGGAGAGATCCTGTCACTCTGGACATTTAGAGAGATTCTTATTGCTGAGACTTCCTGCATCTTTGCATTTGGAGCACAAGAGGGTGTCCTTATTTGACATCGGTTATAATAGTCTTAATTTGTAAAATAAGGTCTTCTAGTTTATCCCTGGACTCCTGTACAAGATTGTTATAAGTATCTTCGTTGATGCCTATGAATGAGAAAGACCATTACCATCTTCTAACCTTTCTTTAACTCTTTGGATTTCGCTACTTAGCTCTGAAGCTATTTTAGTCTTAATTTTATGGGCTTCCAGAGATCTTTCAAGCATTGAAATAGATTTCTCAAGATCTGAAATTTCTTTAGTTTTATCTACCCAGTCTTGTTTGATTGCTGGGAACTCCTTGTTTGAGGGATGGTCATTCAGAGAGTCTTTAAGACAAGTTGTCATTTCTTGTACAAAATCTTTAAAATCTCCATCCCATTTTTGAGGAAAAGCTTCCAACTCTTCTTGAATTTCTCTATGAGAAGCTAGCTTTCTCTTATAAGTCTCTATGTTTGCATCAATATTAGAATCGAGTTCTTGGACTCCCAAGCTCTGGATGTTATCCTGGAGCTGGCTTAGTTGTGCTTCTTTGCCATTTACCTCTTGTTCTAATTTTGCATTCTTACAACTCCATTCTTCGATCTCTTTTTGAATATTTTCAATAGTTTTAGCTTGATTTTCTAAGACTCTTTGCTTTTTCCTTCTTCTTTGAGAAAAGAGCTCTGATGAACCCTCGGAGAAAGCCCTCAAGTTATTGCATTCTTGGTTAGATTTATTGAGAAGTCTTCTAATTTCCAGATACTGTAAGAGAAGGTGGCACCCATCCTTTTCCTTTGCTGTAAACCTATCTCTGGTTTCTCCTAATTCTGTTGTAAGTGAATCAATTTCTTGATTACTTTTAACTATTTCTTCTAAAGAAGTCGTCAGAGAATCATAATATTGCTGCAGCTCTTGCTTCAGTGCATTTTCATCGATTGAGCCATGTAGCTTATCACTCTCATGTTGTTCCATGATTTTCTTAATAAGCTGATCCCCCTGAGCTTTTAGAGCCTTATTTTCTATCGAAATTTGCTCTATCTGAGGATTCTTTTTATCTTTAAGACCAACAAGGAATTCCTTCATGATCCTCACAGATCTTTCTGGAAGCAGGAGTACTTTTTCTTTAGCTGTTAGTATCGGAGCTTCTTGGTTTTTTTGGCCTCGAAGTAGCTTCCCTCTTCTTCTAAGTGAGACATATACACCTTCAACTGTCATTCCTGGTCTGATATCTACAAGCCCATTACTTTTAGAGGAGACTTTCTCTCTTAAGCTATCTTGTTCATGAACTAATCTTTCTAAAACTTTTCTTTTGTTCTTGATTTCGTTCATTAACTCTCTATTTTTATCAACAAGGGTCACTAATTCTTGGCCTTCGTTATGTTGGGCTACTGGTAATTACTAAAGTGAAGCTTACCTTGAGGCTCCGACGAAGCTTGAGGACCTGCCTCAGGTGAAGGTATGAGGCTAGCTCCTTGCAATAGTTCACTAAATAGTTTCATTTTCTCGTTGGTCTCATTCTCTAGTTCTAACATGTCATTTTCATGCTGCTTAAGAAGGCTCTCGACCTTTTCCTTAACTGGAGGCTTTGTTTGCTTGTGCAGGATCTTTCCATCCTTATTTTCGCTCTTTTTGATCTGATCCTTAGATTGCACTCATACATTTTTATGTATAAGAGATTTGGTATCAGGTTTCATAACTTCTAAAGTACCCCCTTTAGTCTCTTCTTTAGTCTCGAGCCGGACTACATCTCGTAAATCCCTGTTTGTTTTCTGTTGGCTTGGATCCATTTGTAGGATAATTTTGATTAAAATTTCAATGTTTAGAAATAAAAAAGGGGTTTTGGGGTTTTGGGGTTTTGGGG